CATTGGTAAATTGAGGTGGGCTCGTCTTTAACGCAAAGATAAATAGATTGATGTGGGCTCGTCTTTAACGCAAAGATAAATAAATTGAGGGGGGCTCGTCTTTAATGCAAAGGTAGATTGAGGGGGCTCGTCTTTAACGCAAAGGTAAATTGAGGGGGGCGTGTGTGCACCGACTGCAGGCTAACCGGCTAGTTAGCTCCGGGCACGCGTCCAAGCCACGCAAGCACAACTCCTCTCCGGGCCCGTGGCATCTGCTTGCTGCAGTGTTTGGGATCCCGCTCCAAAGCCAGCCGGGGGTGTGGGGGAGCAGGCGCTGGGGCTCACTACCTGGAAGCAGCGAATGACTGCCGGCAGCCCGTTATTAACATCTGAGTCGTGACACTCGCCATTTAGCTTTCTAAAGGCAAATCTGTCTTCACCAGCCTCCGCCACCTCCTCCTCTCCTCCCCAGGGCTGGCGGGGAGGCGCGGCAGGGCTGGCGGGGGGCTCCAGCTCAGAGAGCTCCGAGTCCTTCTCCGCATCCGCGCAAACCCCCTTTCCACATCTCGGGTCCTCCTCGCTCGCGGGGAGGCTGGGAGCTGCCGCCTCCTCCTCCTCCTCGCTGCTCGGGGAGGAAGCAGCGAAGTGACGGCTGGGAGAAGGCTCTGAGGCGGGTGGCACTGGGGTCTCACTAAAAGCTACCGACCGCTTTGAGCCCTCCCACGCAAAGCCAGTGTTAGCACTGCTCCTCTCTGCCACTGCAGCCACATCCTCTCTGGAGAGAAAGTCACCCATTCTCTAAAAAGAAACGAATACACAAAAAACGGCCAGAGAGAGAGAGAGAGAGAAAGAGAGCGTTAGGGAGAACAGGAGGTCAGGAAGCATAAAGGCAAAACATTGGTTTCTTATCATATATCACACCTCCGTAACGCATGCAACAGCAGGGGGTTTGGACACTTGAAAGCTTGAAAACCTTTGTGCTATGCGATGTATCCAGTGCATTTACTCGCATGGCCTTCCCGGTACATTAATAATCCACTCTCCTCACGTTTAAGGAATTAATATTAAAACAGCTCTCTGCAACTAAAGGAAGAGCCACCACTAAGCACTTTTTGCCCAGTTCGGAAACAGGAATAATTTCAGTGTTAGCAAGTAGGGACTTGTACACATCCAAAATTCACATGTGCAACAAAACCCACCGACTACACCGAAACCATACCCCGGTTCTGCTTCTAACTCCCTGAAACATTTTTTACGCTGTGCTTTAATCTGCATGTGGAGGCAAAGAGAATAAGCCCAGAATTCGTGTGCACGATAATCCGCAGAGCCTGTGCCTTGCTTTTTTCCTCACCCCTGGCAATGCTCACACATCCGAGCACCCTCTTTGCTGTTGCAGTCTCCGGGATAACTGACACAGACTTGTCATTATGGCATTAGTAAAATTATTGTAAGAGTATCTACAAACTACTATTGAAATCAACTGCTTCAATTACCGAGAGGCTCCTGAATTGACGATGCAGTCTGGTCATCTGAAAGAATTTGTATTATTTCTTCGAGACAAAAGTATTCAATTAACTCGCACAACTTAGCACAAAACTTTTCAGCTGAGGGATAAAGGAACGCAGCTTTAAACTGGAAAGCCAGATGTTCGCGCTGATGTGTGCTGACCCCACCGCCGCCGAGCATGCGCGGTTCGGCTGACTGCTCAACAGGTTGCATTTGACCGTTTATTGGGGACTACGGAAATATTTGTAACATACTTTATCCCAAAGGCAGCTGGCGTATGGAAACCTTTGCGGTAGCTAACCTCCTGAAGGTACAACATAATTGGCTTTTGTGATGGTGCATGGGAGAGAAGACACGTAATGAAGCAGCTCAGCCCTCCGAGAAGCAAGCACGCTACCTGAGATATTTGGGAAGATCGTGCCAAGCCAGAGGGTTTAACTAAGGCTGGTGCTATTCTGCTCTCCGTTCAGCTCGTTAGCAAGGTCTCAACTAGGTCTTCGCACATCTCGGGGAGCCCTCTAGCCAGGAGGGAAGCAACAGTGACAGAAGAGAAGAGAAGAGTTAAAACATGAACAAGACAGAAAACCTTAGCAAAAATCAGCTGTTTGCCCAAACGCCCGAGTGGTGAATATTTCATATGCACGGAGAAGCAGCGTTCCAGTCACCAGCGGTGCAGGATGGCTTCTGTCTTGCCCTGTGCTAGGAACTGTGTTTCGCATTCCTGACACGGAAAGTTGCCTTCAAGGAAGGGCAGAATAAGCAGTTACGGGCACCTACAATTTCACACATGTCAAAGTTGTCGCATCATACATCATCAGGGAACAAGGACAGAAAAATCCCAGAGGGATGCTGCTTAATCAATGCCATTATTCTTTGCAATAATTAACCTCACAGTTGATTTCTGGTGACTTTGTATAAAAATAGCCACATATCTGTTCATCCAAAAACAGTGATTAAATTTTCATAAAAGCATGGCAAGTCCATTTTGTCAAGTGTTACTCTAATTTTGGTGGTGGTATTAAGACGAACAGAAACTGTTGCCTCACTTTCTATTAAGAAGATTCTCTGGGCAACCAAAAAATTGTAATTTGTGCTTAAAATGTGAGGTCTGAAGCCTGTGGGTTATGCGGTAAAATGCATTTTCTGTACACCAGAGGCTTTCACCCTGACTGACCTCATCTAATGGCACAGTTCAATAGTACGTTCAGAACGGTAACTGCTTTATGTAGGAACAAACAGATGCTTATTTTAGTACCATTTCAAGAAATTACTCTACCTCCCAGGTATTCTTCAGTTCCCAGCTTCTTTATGTTGCAGATAGATTACCTGTAAGATTTCTATCCATTAGGATTTCCAGCCTCTTGGGCATCTTTTAAGTTCTTGGGACGTTGCTTAGGAAAATGCATTTAACAGGAGTGAAGGGACAGAGACCAGCACCGTGACGGTCGCGTCTGACGGCACACGTAGGGAAGTGTTATTTCTGATCGAAGGCCACTTCCACATGTGCCCCTCCGAAGGTATATCCAGGTCCCACCCTCATTTTGCCTAACGCAAGATACTACACTGCAATATTTCACAAAACAGCAGGTTATCAGCTTTGAATGCCCGTGTCTTAATCTTGCTTTAAAACTTCGATTTATATACTGCCAATATGCTGATCTTTCCTTAATTAGATGTGCTAAACCTTGCAAATTAATCACGGGCTCTGGAGAAGACACAGTACGTCTTCTGGGGCTTAATGGAAAATGCCTTAGGAGCAAGATTTCCTAACGTACCAGCTGGGGCACTGCTTCGACCAAAGAGAAAGAACCACAGATGAAACAAAGCAGATTAAGCAGCTACACAAACGCGGATCCATGTAAGAGACAAACATTTGTATCCAGATGAAGCAACTTCCCAGCTCCCTTTCGTATACAGAAAAAATAATTTGCATTTTGGAAGTATCTTGTATGGTAAAAGCATAAAGGAAGGCAAAAGCTTAAATGAAGCCCATGGCGTACACGTACTGGTTGTCAGTAGAGCACAGTGCCGCAACAAACATGCAAGCTATAAAGACGGAATGAAATCCTGATAAGATCCACTGATCAGAAGCGCTTTTTTTCTTGCCTTCCTACTCCACCAGTAAGAAGTCAGACTATTTGAAAGGTATTTGTTTCTATATAAAATTATCTATTTACATGCACCTTTTTTTTTAAATGTTTTTAAATGTTTGCTTCTATATTTAAAAATGCAGTTTACATGTAGGCTAGAAAAGATGACGCTTTTATAAAACCAATCAACCAAACCCTAGGAATTTGAAATCTGTTACAAATTCTGATCTTATCAAGATTTATTTTAATTTGCAAATGCAAAAGCATTCCTATTTTTAGGGCTCAGATTTGCAAAGTCCCAAGCTCTCCTTGAGACCCATGAAACCTGAGAGTGCCTGGGCTGCAAACTACTCATTTCCAGAGACACAAAACCAAACCAGCGACGCCTACATCAAGCACGAAGCAGACTATTCGCGTAAGCCATCCACGGTGTAAAGAAAATACAGGACAGGATGCAATGCCCCAGAAGAAACAAATCGAACCAGACGTGAATGCAAGTGAAATATTACCCTGCTAAATACGAATCTTTGTGCGCCTGCTGCTGACAGATACTGAGGATACAGCTGAAGCGTTACAGCGTAGTAAGTGACACACAATAATTCAGACTGGGGATAAATTAATAACAGGCTTAATTGCATGGCTGATGCCAGTGACCAAAAGGATTTGTTTTTCTTAAAAAGTGTTTTTGTGTAAATTTGTTTGCCCGTATTTTTTCAAGAACCGACTGTTTTGGGTCAGGATATGTTCGTATGAAGCAGCTGCCCTGCGCTGCCAGAGCGGATGCCTGTTTTCTGCAGCCCGTGCAGGCATGCTGCTGCCTCTCCCCCCAGAAATATTCGATTATCCTCATCCCAAACCAGACTCCTACCCTGCAGGAAACTTAAGGAGTGCTAAAACGATGTCAACCTGCCAGTTACCAAAGACATTTGATAAAATTTGATACAAACGTGACATTAGGATGCACGCTAACTCCCTACAACCACCATAGGAAATGCTATACATTCCAGCTAGTCGGTACTTCCCAGTCCCCTTCTGCAGTACGGCACTGCAGTCGTCAGCGCTGGCGCGTGTTATTAGGTTATCCCCCAACAAGTATCCACGTAAGCTAAAAGGCTCGGTGTGACCGTCTACAGATGCACGAGTACATGATGTTGCTTTTGCAGCGAACCGCACTCACCAGTGAGAACTCCCAGACCAAATGGTGCTCAATCTCACAGCTGTCAAAGCACTTGGGTAGAAAGTATTATAAAGCAGAAGAGAAGAGATCCTTATTTTACAATACCTGCCATGCCTTATGGAACTGCTTTGCCTTAAAGGTAGAAGTTAAAAAGTTTAGAAGCCGTTCAACAAACCCTGGCATTTGAAAATAATGGCCATTACCTACAGATTTGCATTTTGGGGCTGATTTTTTAATTGCTATTGATCCGATCACAACACCCTGACCAGCATAGTCAGATGACAGAAGGATAAAAGAGAATTTGACCAAAGTTGAAGTAAGGCTAGAAAATACACAGCATGCTACAAGCTTAAAAAGATTAACTTGCTGTCATGATCAAGGTATTTTACATGATACACAGCAGCCACTTCCAATCCAGTGCATCAACTACCTGGCAACATGAAACAACCTCAAGATCAATACTTAAGTTATTACAATAAGGTTGCTGAGCAATATGATTCCAGGAGCATTTCCTCTCCCTTTCCACCCTGATCCCCTTCCCATCCCTTCTGCGGGGCAGGTGCCCTTGGATGGGGGGTACAAAGCTGCGCACTTCTTATTCCAAATTCCCTCTGCAGAGAAAAAGCTGCTAGTGGCATTGCAAACGTTGCCTCCGAGTTAGCGTAGCAGCAGCAAGTGAAAAGGGTGGGGATACCATCAGGGTTTATAACTGACATCACCTTTGTGCTGCTGCGTTTCGCTCGCTTCGTTTCATAAATCAAGTTATGGTTCCGCTCTGACGCCAAGCTCATCCAGGAGAGCAGCAGCACGAGCCTCGGGCTGCTCCGTCGCAGCCACATTGGCTTTCCTGTGATCACTCGTGACTGCACGGAACGAGCCAAACAGTTTATCCAGGTAAATAATCTCACAGAAGAAAAGTTGGGAGTTAAAATGACGACTGACTCTTGATACAGCCTCTAGACACAACCTCAGCCAGCTTCAACCAGCTAACACCCAGCCAGAGGCTTGCATTGTATTACCAAGCA